AATCGATCAGATGCCGCAACCACATACAATGCACCTGGTTACGAGATTTGTCGGGCATCAATATTCCTCTAATTATTCGTAGAATATATGCCCGAGCACATGCCTTTGCTTGATCCTCTGAAGCATTTTCATTTAAAACCTCAAAATTAGCTTTCAACCAAGATAAATCTATTCTACCTCCATTAAACTCAGGCGGAGCAGCTCCAAGATAATCAATGCACATTGATTGCCAATCACCATCCGCCATACCACACATCATATTTCCGTCGACGGGAAGCCCCAGATGCATAGAGACATCCTCCAATGTAATTGTCGCCTCTCCACATGGAAGGTGAAAAGTGTGTGTCTCGGGCCTCCACCTCTCAATCAGTGCAGAAATTAGGACAGGTTCGAGTTTGCAACCGTCTATAATTGTTGCAATATACCCGAACCCGGCAGAAACCAAATATGACAAAATACGTTCTGGTGTCGGTATACGTGGATTTTTAATAAAAGTCTCTAAAATACGATCAGCATCCTAAATAATATACATTATAAAAAATAAAAATTAATATAAATTTATAATAACTTTAAAATAAAATAAATTTAAATATTAACATTAATTATAAAAAATATTACCATATCGCTAAAATGTCTGGAGATATGATCAATATCCAATCGCAACAGCATTTCGTTTTCCATTATAACTGTAGACAAAACAATATAATTAGCAAAAAAAAAATTAATAATTCTAAATAAATAATAATTATATAAATATTATTTTAATAAAAATATATATTTACATAAATATATTAATAAAAAATAATAACTATTTAAAAAAATACTAACATAAAAATAAATTTCTTACCACTAATAACAAATTTAAAACTCAAATAGATGGAGAATTTGAGTTATATAAGAGAGGAGAAGATGATTTTGGTGTGAAGAATGAGAGAGGGTTGAGGGGGTTTATATAAGGGAGGAGGAGGGGTAGTTAGAAAAAACGGATGGGGGCATTTATGACATTTAATGGAAGGCGCGTCCCCGGGGATGCGCTTTCCACACGTGTCTGCTGAGTTGGCAAAGGCGCGTCCCCGGGAATGCGCCTTCCACACGTGGCATCCAACTCAGCGAAAACACGGGTAAAGCGCGTCCCCGGGGACGCGCCTTTGCCAACTCAGCAGAAAGGGTGCTACTTCTGGAAATATTGGTCAAACGGTACCAGAAAGGGAAAATTTAAAAAAAAAAAAAGATGTCATTTATGTCAAATAGCCCCCAAAACGCAGCTATGGAGTCATCCTTGCCCGGTATCGTTAAAGGGTTATCAACAGCAGCAGGGTTAGGGTTAGAGATAGATATGGCCCGTGACAGTCTCTTTGGTAAGGACGATTGATGTAGGTGAGGCGGTTTCAGTGGCGATTGGAGCCCAGCTGTAATGATATGGAATGGTTTTGCTTGCATTTTCCCTCTTTTTGTATTATAAAAGCTGGTTAAATCTGTGGGTGGAGTTTCCAAGGAATGCTCAAGGAGTTGTTTATATAGATAGCATGGCTATTGTGTTATTGACATTATTATATATGAATATATGTGAAGGTCGGTCACTTGGCCAATTCATGTGGTGGTTTCTCGTGGTCTATCATGGAAATGGCAGAAAAAATGTCCTTATTAGTTATTATGTATATAATTATACAGTGCTTTAAAAATATTAAATATTTAAATATATTTAAAATTCAGGTATTTCTATGTATTACACCATTAAATAATAGATAAAATAATTTTTTAGTATTTTATATAATGTCTGGTGATTTTGTCTGCATCTCTTTTTTTATTCAGACAAGCATTGGGGGAAAATGGTTGGAATATTTGGTTATTTACGGTGGAGGAGAAAGGCCTAAAAAACTAATACAATGCACATAGAGAGAGAGCAGTTTGATGCCATCAAGAGCTGTTGGTAAGATAATGGGGGACAAATGACAAATAAAAAGAAAGAAACACAAGGCAGTGGGCCGTGTATGGAGATCTCACCTTCAACTTAACCCTGCTTGGATCCTTCCAAATCTCAACTTCAACTTAACCCTGCTTGTATCCTTCCAAATCTCAACTTTTCGTTTTGGAATGCTTTTAAGCGCTGTTGGAATAATCTGCAAAACAAGTGAGGCCAGCCAAATCAATTGAAAGAAAACTGAAATTTTATGAAATGAAAAAAAGAGGTGATGAACAAATTGATAATAGATAGGGAGATCAGGGATTTAAATAGTTGTCCGCGTTTGTGATATAGCGGTAGCGATGTCTTCCGCGACCATTTGCGAATGCAATCCTTACAATTTCATCTACTATATCATAATTACGACAAACGCGACGCGAACAAAAACGTTTTTGTAACCGCTATTTAAACCTCTTACGGGGACGATAACCCGAAAAGGAGGAAATTATATAAAGAGAAGATGAAGAACCGACGGTGTAATTTTAATGCCATCTCTTCTAAATAATTTCAATGCTATTTATTGAGAAAAGTGGTGAAAAAAGTCCTTCAAAATGTAGATATATTATATAGTGACATTTAGAAATACTTTGAAATTTTATTTCTTTTCTTATATATTAGGGTTTCAATAATTTGATATCAATATCTTTAAAAAACAATTTGTTATTTAACCATTTATTTTAATTACTTAAAAGTAATTACAAGTTATAATTTGTATATTATAACATTAATAACAATTTATTATAAAATATATTTTTATTATTATTTAAAATCAATATAGTATACATAAATAATAAATTTAAAGGTAATTAAATTAATATATTTTTCAGTTTATCATGTAATGTCTAAAATAAACATTTTATCTTATCAGAAGTACTTTTAGATTGTAATATCAAATACTAAAATTTGAACTCAATTTTTTAAAATCACATTGTAACGAGGGATTGACCTAAAGGGGAGTGGGTGGCAGTTGCCCCTGAAAATTTAAAATTACCATATATTCTAAATTTTTTCTATGTATTTCCTAATGAAAATCTGTTTCACCCCCTCCCAGAATTTTAGTTTGCCACCTGGAATTTTAGTTCATTCCCTAAATTTAAGTTCACCCTCCAACATAAAATCCTAACAACACTCTTCTAAAATGAAAGAATCAGTGCAACTACTCTAATCCAATGAAACTGCTAATAAAAGGGATAAAGAAGAATGAGGAGGAGAAGAAGAAGGTTTTGAAGCTTAATAGGAGAATCACATGTTATTATGGTAATAATGAAAAACTAATGGTAGTAGAGATGAACGACTCGGTTATTATGGAGAGTCGATGTCATCGATTGTCTTTTGCAATAAGATCAATATAAAAATATTTGTATTCTACTCTTCTTTATTCTCATAAGATTGGTTTTTCAAGAAATTAACTCAAAATCGACAAAATTTAAAAAAAAAAAGCCTATGATTTTAAGGATTTAGGGATTTTCTCGTATTTGTGGTTTGGCATGTTTGCTCAAAAATTCTAATGGTGAGAAACATTATTTTAACATAAAGAACAACATTCCTCAAAATTAGCCTCATCATAGCGACGATCAAAATAGATCAAAGTATTAGCACATCAAACTTTTAGATAAATTTTTTCAATCAATTTTTAGTGGACTTCATGGAAATCAATCTGACGAGAATATAAAGAAGTGAAATGTGAATATTTTGATATTGATGACAACCCGTGACGGAAAACGATTGACTGCCAACGATAGATGAAAAAAGTTTAGTGCCAAAAAATAAAATATTTAAAAGTTTAGTGGCAAAATTGGTATGCCCTTAAAGTTTAATACTTAAAACAATGTAGTTCTAGGCACGAATAGCTATACCAAAACAACATTGTTTTTTCATATCATCACAATGAGAAAAGATATATCCATGTTATCGTGTCATTAAAATTGAAGACCTAGTGATATAATTAAAGTTAAAAGCCAAAGTTTAGTATCATAATTAGAACAATTGAAAGATCAAAAGTATAAATGAAACACCACCTAAAGTTTAATTATATCTATATAATTTACCCTTCTATTTATAAATATTTTAAATAAAATTTTTAAATTTTATTTAAAAAGGTTAGATAAATTTTATATGATGATACTTCCTAATCTTATAATTCCATGTCACTATCTACTTAACACCTGTAAAGAAAAAAAAGTATAGATCTTCTAACGCAATACAAGTTCAGGGTTGATGTGAAACAAACAAAAAAGGGGTTAACGTAAGAGAAGGGTACAAGTTTAGGAGCCAACTATATAATAAAGCAAAATAAAAGGAAAGTGAAGAGTGCTCGACATTTTGACCAATTTCGCCCAATTTACGTGATGCTCTGTTTCGCGAAGTCCAACCTGCCACCTGCATGTCTTGCGTTAATGGCGATTGGGAGGACTTTCACTTGTTCTTTCTTTGAAAACCCTACTCTCTCACAACTTCTCCATTTTATTCTTTGGTTGGGTAAATGCTGATAATGTAACACCTTCAACTTCATCTCTCTATCTTTGTTTTTCTTTCTTTCTTTCTGTATATTTTTAGCGTTGGAGTGGAATAATAATAATGATAATAATCAGGATCAGCTGAATAATGGGCGGATTTGTTCGAGGAGCGGCGTCAGAGATGATGGGGTTGGAAATGGCTATGGCGGTGGTAATCTCAACCATTACCAGAGCAAGGATATTCCTCAATACTTCTATAGATTTATGTTTTCAGTGCTTCCTCATGTTCATCAGGTAGCCCGATCGAGTTCTATTCCTGCAAATACAAGGGATGCATTATACCAGAATTTATCACCCTCCATAAAATCAGCTCTACGCCCAAAATTATAATCTTTTCGTGTCAAAGAAGAGGTATTCTATGGTTTGCCAATTTCTTTTTTGAAGCAAAGATGCTGATTGTTTCCAAAAATAGAATAATAATTCAAAAACGAAAAGAAACTGATGGATGTTTTCTTTATATTTCTTGCCAATAATCCTTTTATGTTTGTTACCATCTAATCGGTTCATATGGCATTCTCCTATTAAAGAAATCAAAGATGAGAAGAAGACGTCGCATCGGCTTGTTCCACTTGCCACTAACACAACCAAGTGAGATGGTCATCCTGTTTTCTTTTCTCCAGATCCGAAAATGATCAGCCATTTCACAAATAAGAAGCTTCCATTTATGTTTTATGTAGTTTGTTATCAAGTTTTTGATCCTTTTTTATTTTGTAAATGTTCTAACCATCTTTGTTCTTTCATTGCACTTACACAGAGCCCATCATGGTTTTGGCTGGGTTGGGGAATGGGAAAACACAGGGTGAGTGACTATAGGTTTCCCCTTATTCTCTTGTTTTTTTCCCTCTTTTCTTTTCTTTTGGGGTGTTAGAAATCAGCAAAATATGCCATAGTGAAAGGAAATATTGACTTTTCCTTTTCTTTTAACAAAGTTCTGAGCTCAACAGGAAGCCTTCAGGTGGACCAATTGTTGTGATTCGGATTGAGACACTCCACCATGGTGATAAAGAGAAAACAAAAACCTATATACTTGAACAACTATTATGGCTCCACTATTTGGTCAACAAATCAAAGTCGAATGCTGCTCTATGCTTGAGGACATCCATCAAAACCCAAGTCACACCTACAAAGAAGAATGAGCAGCCCAAATCTGAGCGTACCGTTGCTCAAACATCAAAGAAGAGAAATTGTTGCAGGATTTAACTAAGAAAGTAGGAATCCCGGGGATTAGCAGTGTTGGGAAATAAACCGAGTACGAGTAATTTCCCTATAATCAGATTAGTGAGACTGCGAAATAAAAGCGGAAAAATAATACCCGAAATTGATAACGGAGTTCAGCCAATTTTGCTTACATCTCCAGACTGCTGCAGATCATTTACTAAGAGAGAAAATTTACAGGTGTTTACAAAACACTACTACTCACAAGAAAGCTCTCTAGTAATGGGAGAAAGAAATGATTTGAGATTTTGGGATGATTTTGAAGCTAAATGAACTAGGGTATTTATAGTTGAAAATTAGGGACTAATATTATAATTAACCCTATTTCTATTTTAATTAAAAATTGGGGCACCGATTCGGTGCCCCCCTTTTTTGAAAAACTCATGCACCTGTGCCCCCCATTTCTTCTGGCAGCAAAACCCACAGAAAAAATGCCCACTTTTTTACTTTTCTCCAACAATCTCCCACTTGAAGATAGATTTTAATCTGTCTTCACACCTCGATCGATGCAACAGTATTTTTGGTCTTGTTATTCTAGCATGCCAACTGAAGCTGAACACAACTTCAGTTTGTTCGTAGTTACCGTCTTTGTCAACATGTCTGTCGGATTTTGAGCTCCACTAATCTTTTCAAGTTTCAAAATCCCATCTTCCAGAAGAGACCGGATAAAGTGATATCGCAATTGTATGTGCTTCATCCTGGAATGAAAGACGAATTCTTTGCTAGATGAATAACACTTTGACTATCGCAATACAAGACATTGTTTTCTTGTTTTTTGCCTAACTCTTCCAAGAAACTTTGCATCCAAACCATCTCCTTGTTGGTTTCCGTAACAACAACATATTCTGCTTCAGTTGTGGAGAGAGCAATTATCTTCTGTAGTGGAGAGAGCAACTATCTTCTGTAGTTGAGAAACCCAACTCACTGCAGTTCCTCCTAGAGTATAGACATACCCTGTAGTGCTCCTTTTGATGTCAACATTTCTGGCTAAGTCAGCATCTGCATAGCCTGTCAGTATCATATCTCCACCTTTGAAACAAAGGGTTTTGTTTGTGGTACCCCGCAGATATCTGAGGATCCATTTGACTTCTTCCCAGTGTACCTTGACTGGATTATTCATGTACCTACTAACAGCTCCCACTGCATGAGAAATATCTGGTCTGGTACAAACCATGGCATACATCAGACTTCCAATTGTTGAGGCATACGACACCTTCACCATGTGTGCACGTTCTTCCTTCGTCTTTGGTGAATGTTCTTTAGAGAGTTTGAAGTGAACACCTAAAGGTGTACTTACTGGTTTAGCATCTTGCATGTTGAACCAGGAGAGTACTTTGTTGATGTACTCAGCCTGTGATAATATCAAAGCCCCCGACTTTGTGTCTCTCTTGATCCTCATCCCAAGAATCTGCTTTGCAACGCCTAGATCCTTCATAACAAACTGCTTCGACAATTTTTGCTTTAAGTTTATAATCTCTTGCATGTCTGAGCCTGCAATGAGCATGTCATCAACGTACAACAATAAAATAATAAAGCTATTGTCGAACCTCTTGATGTAGCAACAATGATCTGCTTGGCATCTGGTAAAACCATTGCTACTCATGAAACTATCGAACTTCTTGTACCACTGTCTAGGAGCTTGTTTTAAACCATACAAGCTCTTCTTCAACCTGCATACTAGGTTTTTCTTGCCTGCCTCTATGAAGCCTTCTGGCTACCTCATATAGATTTCTTCCTCCAAATCACCATGAAGGAAAGATGTCTTCACATCTAACTGCTCAAGATGTAAATTCTCTGCAGCTACAATTTTCAACACCAGTCTAATTGTAGATAGCTTCACGATTGGAGAGAAAATTTCATTGTAGTCAATACCTTCTTTTTGCTGAAAGCCTTTGACAACCAATCTTGCTTTATAGCATTTACTCCCATTGTGCTCTTCTTTGATCCTGTAAATCCACTTTTTATGGAGCGTTTTCTTGCCTGGTGGTAATTCAGGTAATTTCCACGTCTGATTTGACATAAGTGAGTCCATCTCATCTTTCATGGAAGACTCCCACTTGACTGAATCCTCCACCTGCATTACTTCATCATAGCACTCTGGTTCACCATTATCAGTCAACAACAAGTAGTGCAAAGAAGGCGAATAACGCTAGGTTGGTTTAGGAATTCTGGAGGAGCGTCTCAGTTCTGGTGTGTCTGGTTCTTCTTGAACTTCTTCAGGATTGATATGAACATCATTTCTAGAAATTTCCTCGAACTCAGCAAATTCCTTTGTTTAGCTTCGATATTGGAGCTACTTGATTCTACAGTTGACATGTCTTTGTACATCACATTCTCATTGAAAATGACATCTCTGCTTCTAATGATCTTTCGATTTTCGTAGTCCCAAAATCGGTAACCGAACTCATCACCACTATAACCAACAAAGGCGCATTTGTTGGACTTGGCATCAAGTTTACTTCTTTCAGCAGAATCTATGTGTATATAAGAAATACAACCAAACACTCTTAAGTGTGAAAGGTTTATTTCTTTCTTGCTCCAAACTTCCTCTGGTATTCTGCCATCTAAAGGAACTGAGGGCCCACGGTTGATCAGGTAAGTTGCAATGTTGATAACTTCAGCCCATAGAAATTTGGGTAATCCGGCATGTATCCTCATGCTTCTGGCACGTTCATTCAGAGTTTTGTTCATGCGCTCTGCTACGCCATTCTGTTGCGATGTCATGGGAACTGTTGTCTCCATCTTGATCTCATTATTTGCGCAGAAATCTCTGAATCTACGATTTTTGTACTCTCCACCATTGTCAGACCCCAACCGCTTGACTTTCATACCAGTCTCATTTTCCACCATGGCCTTCCATTTTCTGAAGGTATCAAAGACTTCTGATTTCTTCTTCAGAAAATAAACCCACACCCTCCTTGTAGAATCATCGATGAATGTAACATAATATAATGAGCCTGCAAGAGATGGAACTAGAGATGGTCTCCATACATCAGTATAAACCAACTCTAACTTTTCAGCCTTAGGTGTCTTACCAATCTTTGCAAAGCTGACTTTCTTTTGTTTGCCAAAGATGCAATCTTCGCATAGTCTGACATCTACATTCTTTAGATCCGGCAGGTTCCCTTTTGACAAAAGTGTCTTCATCCCTTTCTCGCTCATATGACCAAGCCTTTGGTGCCATAGGTTTGATTTTCCATTAGTATATGCTGCAATAATGATATTCTCTAAGTTTGAGGTTATATAGAGAATACCAGTCTTCTTACCACGAGCAATAATGAGTGCTCTTTTGGTAATCTTCCATTCACAACCTGAAAAGGTTGTGTTATATCCTTCTCCATCAAGCTGTCCAACAGAAATCAAATTTCTTTTGTGGCCAGGAATATGTCTCACTCCTTTCAGCGTCAAGGTGGTCTGGTTTGGCAACTTTAATCGGATGTCTCCTTTTCCGACGATCTTCAAGGTTTCATCATCAGCTAGATGAACATTCCCAAAATCACAACTGACATAGTTCTCCATGATTTCTCGGCATGGGGTAGAGTGGAAAGATGCCCCTGAATCCAAGATCCATGATTCAATCGGACTGTTGACGCTTAAAATCATGGCATCACCTGTTTCATCTGTCATGTTGGCTTCCTGTGCGCCGATATCTTTCTTCAGTGCTCTGCAATCTCTTTTAAAGTGACCCTTCTTGCCACAATTATAACAGGTAAAATCTTTCTTTCCCGTTCTTGATTTTCCTCTTATGGATTTGGATCTGCCACGATTTGAATTTCTCTTTGAAGTTCTCCCTCTGGACTCAGTGTGCAAGGTTGAGGAGGTTGATGCTTCACCCGATTCTCTCCGTCGAATTTCTTCGCTCAGTACCAGATCCTGAACATCGTCAAATTTCAATTTACTATTTCCCGACGAGCTGCTAACTGCTGTAACAGTAGCATTCCAACTATCTGGTAGAGATTATAAGAGAATTAAAGCTCGAACTTCATAATCAAATTCAATTTTCACGGAACTCAACTGGGTTGTGATTGTGTTGAGCTCATTTAGGTGTTGAGCCATTGATGCCCCTTCCGCCATCGGCAAATTGAATAATCGCCTCATCAAGTGCACTTTGTTTGAGGTCGATGGCTTCTCATGCATACTGGAGAGAGCCGCCACAAGACCCGCCGTGGTCTTTTCCTTTGCTATGTTGAAAGCAACATTACGGGACAACGTCAATCGAATAACTCCTAGGACTTGTCTATCGAGAAGAGTCCAGTCTTCATTCTTCATGCCCTCTAGTTGCTTTCCTGAGAGAGGTTGATATATATTTTTCTGGTACAGAAAATCCTCAATCTGCATCTTCTAAAAGCCAAAGTCTGCACCATCGAACTTCTCAATTTTCACCTTCCATTCGTCTGCAGCCATCGCTCCGACTCGAATCTGGCTTCTTTGGATCGTTTCTGACAATTTCTGCGAATCGTCATGTATTAGAACACCTCCGTCGATAAATTTGTATCGCCAAAATTTTTTGACTATTCATGAAATTCACTATTATGTGAATAGTAATAAATAGTAACCTCGCAAAAAAATTGAAAAAATTCATAACCAAAAGCTTTGATACCAGTTGTTGGGAAATAAACCGAGTACGAGTAATTTTCCTATAACCAGATTAGTGAGAATGCGAAATAAAAGCGAAAAAATAATACCCGAAATTGATAACGGAGTTCAGCCAATTTTGCTTACGTCTCCGGACTGCTGCAGATCTTTTA